GATTAATCGAAGAAATAATTGACAGATTAATCGATTATTAAAATAATCGTTAGTTGCAGCGCTATAAAAAAACAATTAAATGTGAAATCCAACCAGATTTTTTTTCTTCTCAAGTTTAATTTTTAGAGAAAAGAAGACGGAAACCATCACGTCCATTACACATTATTCAAGGGCCATTTAATTAATTAACTTTTTTTTTTTCAACAATTCCTTTTTATATCAAGGTACCAGGACTGAGGCTGTAGACCCAAGACTGAGGTTGTATACCCAGGACTGAGGCTGTAGACCCAAGACTGAGGCTGTAGACCCAGGACTGAGGCTGTAGACCCAGGACTGAGGCTGTAGACCCAAGACTGAGGCTGTAGACCCAGCACTGAGGCTGTAGAACCAGGACTGAGGCTGTAGACCCAAGGTTGTAGACAAGACTTCAGGTTGTAGACCCAGGACTGAGGCTGTAGACCCAAGACTGAGGCTGTAGACCCAGGACTGAGGCTGTAGACCCAGGACTGAGGCTGTAGACCCAAGATTGGGCTGTAGACCCAGGATCTGAGGCTGTAGACCCAGGACTGAGGCTGTAGACCCAGGACTGAGGCTGTAGACCCAGGACTGAGGCTGTAGACCAAGGACTGAGGCTGTAGACCCAAGACTGAGGCTGTAGACCCAGACTAGACTAAAGGGTACAAAAGTGTGACAAAAGGCCAAAAATTTGATTTTTAAAGTAGTACTAGAATTTAATATGCTGCTATCCAGAATATGTAACTACAATATGTGTTTATAATATTTCGGATGTTCATTTTGACATGTTCAGATGAATTATGTTAAAAAACGGCTTTGAAGTGGCACCTTTTCACTTCCGCATAGAAAACACTAGGGGGCGCCAAAATGGCGGCGATGACGTAGGAGAAGGACCTCTCACAGCAGCAGCAGTCTGGTTGGAAACTGTAGGAGGTTTCACTGTCATCTGAACAAGGTATAAACATATTTTTAACAGTTTTGTACATAATAGTGTGCAACTCTTTTAACCTTTTAGTAGTGATGGGTAAATGAAACCTCACGTATCGTTTCGGCACATCCAACGAACTGTATTGATACTGTGCCGCAACAGTGTTGCTTGTGCTGCTCTATACTGACGCCTGGTGGATCTGATAAATCATTACATGCAACTCACTGATTCAATGAGCTTTACATACTTGTCTGTACACAATATTACGTTACTGCATTGTCTCGTGTGTATTATTTTATTTTTATGTGAAAATTAAAGTGATAGTTGTGAATGTATTCATTAAGCAAAATGTCATTGAGTGATTTTATATATATATATATTATTTTTTTTCAAAACAATAAGCATGTCCAAAGTGCACTGTAAACCCTGGCAACTAAAGTATACTTGAAAAAACCTTTGACATTTTCTACACTTCAATTTCTCGAAATCATTCTTCAGGACTGTGATGTCAACATAAACCTTTGAGGTCCGACAGGGATTCGTACCCGGTTCTCTTTAAACGCGGGGTGAGAGCGCTATCCACTCATCCACCATGCCTAACTAGATTTTCCGTTTCAAACTAAAATCTTGATTGTAGATAAAGCGTGAAATGTAAAATACAAACATTGCCTTATTTGCTGTTATTTGCAGTATCACACTGCAGAATACTTTCTTTTAGTGGCAGGTTCCATCTTGATGCTGTAAAATGGGATGTTTTTTTCCTTTTTGAAAGGGTTATTTTCTTTTTCTGAGAGCGGTTCATACCGGTGACACTTGCAGATGCGGAACCTTTTAAATGTCAGGGGGTGCAAAATGGGTGGTGGGTTTTAATATGGTTTTATTCATATTTTATGCATGTTGTGTTTGTGTGTTTTTAATATTGATTTTTAACTGGCACCACCTGAAGCACCCCGGCTCCCCACGTGAGCAATCAGAGACACCTGCGCCTTGAGAATAAAAGACTGAGATGGGGGGGCGGCGGAGAGGGAAAGACACAGAGAGAGGAACAGAGGAGGGCAGAGGCCGGTCCGGAGGAGGACATGGGGACCGGGCCAAGGACGAGCACCGCCAGCCAGAGACCACGGGGCACTGAGGCCAGCGGGGTGAGAGCGGCACCGGTGAGGCGCGCATTGATAGTGCATTGGCGCGTGCGCGCCCGGGCTAGGCCCAACGACCGGGATGTGCCGGCTCTCCCCCGCGGGTGCCCGGTGGCGACCCGTGGCCGGCGAGCGGCTGGCGGACTGCGGCCCGGTCCCGGGACTGGGAACAAGGACACGGGAGCCAGGCGCGGCGGGTGAGAGCCCCGTGGTCTGGCGGCCCAGGCCCGTGGGGACGCATTTTAGCCTGTTTTAGCCTCTGTTTTAGCTTTTTAGCCCTTTCTTTAGCTTAGGTTTTTACTGCTTTTATTTACTTGTTTTTAATGTATTTTATAATAAATTGCTTTTAATTCGCTTTAATACAGTGGTCCTTTTTAAATCCGGGTCCGAAGAACCTGTTTTTTACCCCTGTGACATAAACACAGTTTGCCGTGTCGGGACAAGCGACACTGCGGCTGTATCGGTCACGTGGCTTTTTCATAAAGCGACACTCGCGCCGATACGAGGTTTCGCCAAACGAACTCGGCACATGCGCCGGTGTATCAGTGTTGCTGGACCCTTCACTACCTTTTAGCCTTATTTGTGAGATTCAAGCTAATTAGTGTTGGGCAAGTTAGCTAACTCTACGTGATATCATAAAACATGCTAACAAGGCTAATATTCGTTTTTACATTAAGCCAGTCTCACTTTGGTTTCCTTAGATTTATTTACCACAATGTACATTGTAATATCCATAAATGCTAACACCTATTAACGGTTTACTTAGCATTTTTATAAATGTAACCCTGGTCCCTAGCTGAGCCGCGTCCTGCCCTGCTTTTATTTTGGCAGACCCGTTTCCCATATAGTAGCCGCTCCCCCGCGTCACGTCCTCTCGGCAGGAGGACGGTCGTAGACTCAGCCTGTGGGTCGGAAGAGGACGAGAGAGCGGACGCAAGTTTGAATCTAAGATAAATAATAAAAGTGAACATTGATACTGGCAGTTTGGCATAATCTGGTTTGTGACTGGGCCGGGATGGATTCTCAGAAAGAGGAGGAGGATGATTTGATGAACTTTGATGACTTTCCATCATTACGTAGTGATGGGGATAGGGGGGGGTAGGAGCAGTCAGAGAAGTAAGCGTGGTTTAGATGATTCTAGTCCAGATGAAGGAAGGTCAGTGATGCGGAAGAGGGTAGTTCGAGAACCAAACAAACCTAAGGTCATACTTAAGTTCGGGAGTGAAAGTGAGGCTTTAAAGGTCGGGATTTTGGCGCTGTCCAGGGAGATAAAAAAGAAGTTGGGAGAAGTGGAGTTAGCAAAGATTTTGAGAGATGGGTGTTTATTAATTGTGTGCAAGTCTGAAGCGCAAAAGGATGAGGTGATGCAGTTAGGAAGTATAGGTAAGATGGTGGTTAGGGAGCGCAAGATAGTCGGGGAAAGGAGGGGGGCGCGGGGGGTGATAACCGGTGTCCCTCTTGACGAGGATCTTGAGAAACTAAAAAATAGCTTTGGAGCAGGGGTGAAAGCAGTTACAAGGCTGATGAGAAGGAGTGAGGGCCAAAGGGTCCAAAGTCTGTCTGTTTTAGTGGAGTTTTGTGATGAGGTTGTTGTGGAAATTCTGCACATAACAAGAGTAAAATAATGTAAACAACCCAGAGCTGTAATTCCAAACAAAGTGTGAGTTTATTCATTAGTAAATGTGCACAATTACAATGAATAACAGAACCGATACCAATACCGTCCGAAATCGACTGCCCCGATTGAGGAAATGACTGTACATTAAATAGACCAGAGTAAACAAACACATATCTACTCTAGACATTGATATGTGTTGCTCAAGGCTTCTCTTTACACGTCCTAACGCTGATACAACTCTGATATATGTAACAATCTGCTTTTGAACTGAACATATTGTTCTATGACCCAGGCCAAAGACATGATGCAGCACGTCTCCATCTATCACTGACCTGCTGCCAACAGAGCATTATGGCCTGTATCTGAATCCAGAGTTGACTATTAGTTAATAACTTACACTCATAACTATTTCGTGTTAATTCAGATTGCTTTACTAAAATATTTCTATAACAAGGTGCTTCCTGAAAAGATCAGAGTGGGGTGTTTGAGTTTCCCGGTAAGAGAGTTTGTTCCTCCCCCGCTCCGGTGCTATAAGTGCCAACACTATGGGCACATAGCAGCGGTGTGTAGAGGGAAACAACGCTGTTCTAGGTGTGGAGGGGAGCATAGGATTGAAGAATGTAAAGAAAAAGACAAAATAAAGTGCTGTAACTGTGGGGGACAACACACCACTTAATATGGGGGATGTGAAGTCAGGAAAAGGGCTGTAGAAATTGAGAGAGTCAAAGTTGCAGATAATACCACGTATGCTGAGGCAGCGAAGAAGGTACCAGTTCAAAGACGGGGGAATGGAGGTTCCGCAGAGGTAGGGCTGAGAAGAGAGGTGAGTGTAGGCCCGGATATGGGAGACTGGCTTGTGTTTTTGGCCTATGTGGTTAACTGCGTTGATCAAACTAAACATAGAGCAGAAAAAGTAAAGATTGTCGTGAAGGGTGCCGAAAAGTTCTTGGGGGTGAAGGGAATACCATGGGAGCAGGTACAAGAGAAGAAGTGGGTAATGAGGGAGGAGGAGGAGGCATTGCTGAGAAGCAATGAATCTAATACAGTTGAACGCTCTGAGTTTAATTGCAAATGGTCAGGAGTTTAAGGCGTATGTGCAATATAGTAAAGTAAAACCGGATATTATCTGTGTGCAAGAGACGCGGCTTAAGGATTCACTGGATTTTGTTATTAGGGGGTATGAATGTGTAAGAAGGGATCGGGATGGAGGAAATGGTGGTGGGTGTGCAATATTTGTTAGAAGCGGGATTCAGTATAGGGTTGTAAGTAAGGGAGAAACACTTGAGTGTATAGTTATAGAAGTATGGGGGAGAGGAGGTAAGATTATAGTTGTAAATTTCTATAATCCATGCAAAAGGTTATCACTGGAGGGTCTGCAGGAGATTATGATGCACATGGAAGGGAAGGTGGTGTGTTGTGGTGATTTTAACGCACATAGTACATTGTGGGGTGGGGTTAATGATGCGAATGGACTGGTGGTTGAAGAATTATTGGATATAAAGAGCCTTGTATGTCTGAATGATGGGAGTGGAACTAGATTTGATTCGAGGACTGGGAAGGAGTCCTCGTTAGACTTAACACTGGTGTCTGAGAGTATTGCTGGGAACTGCACATGGAAGGTGGATAAGGAGACTACGGTAGGAAGTGACCATTTTCCACTAGTCATTCAGATAGGGTTTAGTTTTGAAGAAGCTGCTGTTGGAGGGGTAGGTAAATGGTGTTTTGACAAGGTGGACTGGGGTAAGTTCAAAACCATTTGTGAAGAAGAAACTGAGAAGATAAATGTTAATGGTCATATTACTGTGGATGAGTTTAATAGTAGCTTGTGTAATGCAATAGTTCATGCAGCAAAACAGACAGTTAGAAAGAAGGAGGGGAGGAGGAAAAGTAAGATCGTCCCCTGGTGGTCAGAAGAGTGCACTGTAGCCATACGTGAGAGAAATAAAGCCTTCAAGGCTTTGGCAAATAATGTAAACTGGGAGAATTATCTGGACTATAAGAGGAAGTTGGCAGTTGGCAGGAGAGTGATCAGGGCAGCTAATAAGAACTATTGGAGGGGTTACTGTGACACGCTGGACAGACAGACTTCTATGAGCCAGGTTTGGGGAACAATTAGAAAGATGGCAGGTAGGGGTAGGGAGTTTAGCTACCCTGTGATGAAAAGTGGGGAGCGTCTTGTGATGGAGGATAAGGGTAAAGCTGAAGAATTGGCTAAATATTTTGCAAAGGTCCATAGCTCAGAAAATTTAAGCATAGAGGAAAGGAGAGAAAGAGAGCGGACAGTATTAAAACACACAGGTGGCTTAGAGCATGCACAGAGTTATAATGATGTGATCAATGCGGAGTTTTCAATGTTTGAACTAAATGGTGCGTTAAATAAATGTGGGAAGACGTCCCCAGGGGGGGACGATATTAGCTACTGTATGTTAAAGAATCTTAGTAATCGTAGTAAGGAAAAGCTGTTAAAATTGTATAATAAAGTCTGGGCAGAGAGTGTGTTGCCAGAGCAGTGGAAAGAAGCGGTAGTGGTGCCAATTTGTAAGCCAGGTAAGGACCCCAGTGCGGTCGAGAGTTATAGGCCTATAGCCTTGACCTCACATGTTTGCAAATTAATGGAGAAAATGGTCAATGAGAGATTAGTATACTTTGTGGAAAAAAATAGGTTGCTTAAAGACCATCAGTATGGGTTTAGAAAGGGCAGGAGCACAATAGATCCAGCAGTTTTATTGGAACATGACATAAGAAAGGCCCAGGCTAACAAGGAGAGTGTGGTGGCAGTGTTTTTTGATGTGGAAAAAGCCTACGATATGATGTGGCGGGAAGGGCTTATAATAAGGTTGCGTCAGATGGGAATAAGAGGGGAAATGCTTGGATGGGTCAGACAGTTTCTAACAGGGAGGAAGATTTTGGTACGAGTAGGATCTGAGATAAGCGCAAGGTATGAGGTAGACAATGGGACGCCACAAGGGAGTATTGTGAGTCCAGTGTTCTTCTCCGTAATGATAAATGAGATTTTTTGTAATGTTGAAGGGTCTGTTGGAGTGTCACTGTTCGCGGATGATGGAGTAGTATGGAAGCGAGGAAGGAATGTAAAATATATAGTGGGGAAAATTCAAGAAGCGATACAGAAAGTTGAATCGTGGTCTGTAAAGTGGGGATTTAGGTTCTCTGTTGCAAAAACAAAAGTAATGAGTTTTACGAGAAAGAAAAAGGCTGTTGTTAATATTAATCTGTATGGGGAGAGATTGGAGGTAGTGAATGAGTTTAAATATTTAGGATTATGGTTTGACAGTAGAGTGACATGGAAGGGGCATATTCAAAAGATTGTAGAGAAAAGCAAAAAAGTTTTAAATATAATGAGATGTTTGAGAGGTCGGGATTGGGGAGCAAGCCGGGCCTGCCTTAAGAAGGTCTATGTTGCGCTTGTTAGGTCAGTGATTGACTATGGATGTGTGGTGTTTACTTCTGCGTCAAAAAGTAATCTTAAGAAGTTAGATGTGGTTCAGAGCCAAGCCTTAAGGATATGCAGTGGTGCAATGACGTCAACTCCAGTGGCAGCCTTGCAGGTTGAGATGGCAGAGATGCCATTGGAACTACGAAGAAAGCAACTAATGCTCAATTACTGGGCTAACCTCAGAGGGTACAGCAGAGGTCATCCAGGGTTGGAGGTGTTAAGACCCTGTCAAGAGAAATTCAAACTACAAGTGAATAGCTTTGGATGGGTCTGTGAGAGTGAAGCGAAAGAAGCACAGATATTTCAATTAGACATGAGTCCAACAGTGCCACTTTCAGTTATCCCTCCTTGGAATATGTAAGGGATAACGTATATTACGCAGGTCATTATCGGAAAATAAGTACCGACAGGGCGAAGCGGACCCCGACGCGCAGCGGAGGGGTCTGCTTCCGCCCTGAAGTGTTCTGTTGGTAAAGCCGCTTATTATACGGCTTTACCAACAGAACACACAACATAAACTTCAGTCCACTTTTAGGAATGCCGAAAGGTTTATTTAATGACAGAAAAAAAAATAGTTCCCAAAGGTTTTCCCGTGGCTATGCTAGTGCAACAGTTAGGCTGGCAACTTCCAAACTAGAACTCCCTGGAACTGCATGAAAACTGAACAAAGAATTCTGAACATCAGCGGTGAGTGACCCATACATAAACCTAACCTAAATCCATAATTCGATCCTCTGCAAATGTGTCCGAAAATGTGCCGGTATCTTAAAATGTGCCGGTATCTACTTCCGGGTTTTTCGGGATCGCATTTTCTCGCATTACATCAGTGTTTTTGTCATGAAAACGTAAACGGAAAATTCTGAAAACTTCCGTGCACTTGTATTAAGACTGGATATGTATAAATTACTCTCCGATTAACATTTCATTGCGTTGATTGATTGGCATTTGCGTTTATTGAGCGGCCGGAACTACTTCCGGGTTTTTTCACGATCGCTTTTTGCCGCAGAGAAATAGTATTTTTGTCATGAAAAAATTCTGAAAATTTCCGTGCACGTGTGTGAAGAATGTATATGTATAAGTATTCTCCGATTAACATTTAAGTGTGTTGATTGAGCGTGGCTAGCTCAGGAGTGGCCGGAACTACTTGCGGAGTTATCCACGCATTTGAAAGACAAGCAGAGAGAGCGTTGCCATGGGCAGCGGTCATTATTGTTTTGAGAGGTCCGTTATAGAAAATAATGACCGGTAGAACGTTTTGAAATTACATTCAAATCAATGGAGCATTCTACTGCTGCTGTGAGGAGCCGTATAATAAGAAAGAGGTAAGCATTGATCTGGGTCTTTTAGGTAGAGAAAAGTGTGGAAGTAAGGGAGTAGAGAAATATCTAGGGAAATATGGGGAGCAAGTAATGTTTTTTACGGATGCGTCAAAGTTAGAGGATGGGAGGATTGGAGTTTCTTTTGTCATCCCAGTACTAGGTGTAGTAGGAAAGAAGAGAATAAGTGACAATTTAGCAGTATATACAGGTGAGCTTATAGCAATTCTATTAGCATTGGAATGGGTGGACGAAAGTGGACCAGAGAGAAGTGTAGTAGCATCAGATTCAAGTAGTGCAGTAGTAAGTATTAAAAACATGAATTCGAGATCCAGACCAGATATAATAGTAGAGATAGGACACACTTTAGAGAGAATATATATAGGAAGGGTAAAGTGGTGACATTAGTGTGGGTCCCAGCTCACATAGGGGTGGAGGGAAATGAGTTGGCAGATATGTTTGCAAAAGGAGGGGAAAAAAAGGGGAGGTTGACTTTCCAATTAGGTATAGTAAAGCAGAAATCAAAAGCATAATAAAAGTAAAAGTGAGAGAGCAGTGGCAAAAAAGGTGGGCAAGAGGGGTTAAAAGGAAGATTTTTTGTATGAAATACAAAAGGAAGCAGAGCTTAAGATGAAGGATTGGGGTTCGCTAAATAGAAGGGAGGAAGATATATTGTCAAGGTTGAGATTAGGGCATACAGGACTAAATGATACATTGAGAATAATAGGGAAGCATGAGACAGGCAATTGTGATGTGTGCAGGACAAGGGAAAATGCGGAACACGCCATTATTCAGTGCCCCAGATATAGAGAGTATAGGGAGCCACTTAAACAAGTACTGAGAAGTCATAAAATAGGATTTTGTGTAAAGGATATATTGAAAGTTTGTGATAAAGAGGTGTTAGAAAAGAATTGTTTAAGTTTCTGAAGAAATCTGGGTTGGAAGGTAGGATTTAAGGCTAGGATCTAGTTGTTGTCTGTGGGGGCCATCCTGGCCCACACTCCACTCCGGAAGGTGGCAGTAATGCACCAAAAGTTGTTTGCCAACTGCCATAAAACAACACGAGAAGAAGAAGAAGAAGTCACGTCCTCTCACACCGCTGGAGTTGATAGCTGGCAGCAGCCCTCACGTTGCTATCTGTTGTGGCGCTGTTTGAAAACTCTTCAAACAAGCAAACTAAAACTTAACATCAACATGTGGTCCTGCGGACCCATTTGTGTGTGATCCGTCCCTTTCTCTACTTATTGGTGAGTCAATACACTGCGTAATTTGTGTTAAACCTTACGAGTGCTTGATACTGATTAAAACCTAAATACTGCAGATCCACCCTCATAACCTCCAAGGATCCTCTCTCGGACTCTGTAAATTGCCCCTACTCACCGGTGAGTCGTGAGATTATGTATTTTACGTGTTATTGTTTAGAATGTAGCGCAATCTCCTGCTATCTTGTAGCTATGATTAATGCTAACGCAGCAGAGAGCTACAGTCGGCTGCTGCGTACATTTCAACTCGTATCTTTTTGAGACTCGTTTTATTTGTCAAAGTGGTCCAACCGAACTGTAGGCTACACTTATTTATGTTAGATCATTGCATCAAGCTCGCACTTTAAGGCGTGTTTTGGTGACTTTTTGATACGAATGCCCACGCGGCCATATTTGTTTTGAATATAATTCAGACTCCATCTGAATGAATGAACTGTTGCGCAACATTACTTTGAACCATTTGATTATTGAATTGGATTGAGTACTGAAGAAGATGACATAGTCTGGGATCGCGTCTTTCATTCAGACAGAAGACATGTTTTATTGTCGATGGTAGAGACAGCACGAACAACACGAACAACAGAATGCAAGTGTATTATACAGAGCGGAGGCATGGAGACCTCCAATCAGCAGCTGCCACAGTGCCATGTAGCTTGGCCTTCAGATAGACAAAACAAGGGAAAAGTACTGGCTTCTGCACATTGATAGAATGATGAGTTTAACTTTAACAAAAGTTGCTTCAAAGTGTTATGAAATCTCACAGTACCTCGAGTACAATCTATATTTAAAATGCACTTTACATTGAAAACACACTTTACATTTAACACACACATATTTACATTCACAATTTGTTACTTGAATGAAGCTTCATATTTATTCTACTTTATACAGTTCATATTGAAGGCATTTGATTTATTGCTAGTCTTTTAGCTTTCAGATGTTATTTACTATTTAGATATTTATGTTGTACCTGTTTAAAGTACTGCTAACTTCAGTACTTAACTAATGGGGTATTTTTTTTCCTGACTTGTTTTAGGTCAGGTTTTTTGTGTGTACCTCTGAACTCTCTTTGATGGCGAGCTACCCAACCCCCGCTGTATCGCGGTAGGACACCTTTTGTTGTTTTCGAACTTGGATATATGAACTTTCCGTGAAATATGGATCTTCAATGAACTGAACTCTAAAAAGGATTGAACTGTGAATCAAGACCTGGTGAACATTTCAGTTTTGTTCTTTCCTTTTTGTTTCAAGATTTGGACTGACTCTTTGATTTTGGGTTTTGGTTTGAGTTATAATTAATAGATAATATAATATATTCTATAATACATATTATATTATAATATTAATTATACCTGGTAATCTATAATATAATTTATTAATCTATTATATACCTATTGTACTAGTAATATTGTATTATACCCTGCCATCTAATTGTTACACCTTTTCATTATACCATACCTGGTTATTATATATGCAAATCATTTTAGAAACACAATATATATACATACTTGAAACCGCAAATACTTGTTTTGTCTTATTCACTCGCTTTGGCTCCTGTAGGCGAACCTAGTCTGAAAGCCCTGCCCTCTGTCTTCGGCCCAGTCAGATCCTTAGCCCAAGGCGTTACATTTGCATCACATGTAGTCTATGTTTTCAACTTCTGCAGCTTTTTGTTCATAAAAGTAAAATATTTATTTAATTCAAGTTATTTTGATTAGCATTTTTGAATATTACAATGTACATTGTGGTAAATAAATCTAAGGCAACCACAGTGAGACTGGCATAATGTAAAAACGAATATTAGCCTTTAGGGGTGGGCGATATGGCCTGAAATTCATATTGCGGTATAATTTGGTGTGTGAATTTCAATATAGGTCTAGCAGGTTCTTGCATAAATTTGTCAAGATTGTTACTTACTTATATATTAGAATCTAGTATATATATTTTTTGAGTTGTGAGACAAATGTTGTAACATACATTATTTATGTTACAGTAAAGACCATTTACTGTAAAAGCAAATAAAAAAATAAAAACATATATATTCATTTAAAATATAAAAAACTCCCAAATGTTGAAATCAAAGTCTGTAGGAGTTAGACATGGTCATTATTTATAGTGTCAGAGTTTTGTGCGTGTGCATGACTTCAGTAAAAGCTATTGTTCTTTTACAAAGCTGGTCTTGACATTTGTTGACGCTCCCTAAGTGCTTTTCTCTGCACTTGCAGTGAACTGGATGATTCAATGGATTTATGTTCATTAAAACAGCACATTGGATTTGAACAATTGATGTAAATGGTCATTTTGGCACAATTAACTTTGTTTTAACAAAGTAGCTTTCGTGAGCTATTGACCGCGGAGGTCCGAATCTGACGCTAACTTTCCCAAACACCTGATGTGATGATGCTGCGAACACGGCACACGCATGGATCTATTTTGGCTCACGCTGGCGCTTCGAGCCAACGCCCCTTTGACACTGATTGGCCAAAAGGTAGACGCTTAAACTGTGATTACTGTGTGTGTATTTACCTCTGCTGGGGCCGCTGTGACAACAATAGAGACAGAAACACGGTGTGAATGCCGTGCTGTTATTCGCTGTTTCCAGTGGTGTCTGCCAGGCTAATGCTGCTAGGCTAATGTGCTAGGCTAATGCTGCTAGGCTAATTCTGCTTAATGCCGGTTTGTTTTGGTGCTTTCTGCTGGCGTCAGAGCCTGCGCAATTTGATGACATAATGACCTATCGCAATATGCCGGTATAACAAAAATCTCTACCGTGGGCCAAATTTATATCGCATACCGTTTATATCGCCCAGCCCTATTAGCCTTGTTAGCATCTTTAATGATATCAAATAGAGTTAGCTAACTTGCCCAACACTAATTAGCTCGAATCTCACAAATAAGGCTAAAAGGTTAAAAGAGTTGCACACTATGTACAAAACTGATGAAAATATGTTTATACCTTGTTCAGATGACAGTAGGGCTGCAACAACAACTCGATAATATCGATAAAAATCGATTATTAAAAGCGTTGGCAACGAATTTGGTTATTGATTCGTTGTGTCGCGCGATTAATACGTCACCAAGCGCGCGAGTTGGGCGCATTCTTGTAGTTCTATGGTTGAGCGGACGGACGCACATGCACCACAGAACTACACAACACTGCATGCACACTGCCGTAAAACTCCACAGAAGAAGAGCAGAGTGTGGCGAAGGTGGTCATTTTTAATAGTCTACGGTGGAGGCATTCATTCGAGCAAGACCGCGTTGAACCAGTGCAGAATAGCGACGCAAAGGAAGCGTGCGAGTGTTGTACCGCACTAACTTTAGACACTTTGCACAGAGTCAGTGGGAACAGTGTTTCTCAGGGTCAGGGCTGTCATTGGGAGGTTCGGAAACAGGTTAGATTTGCGGAGAACAAGCTTGGAAGTCACGTCGGGACGCCGCAACTCCAGCCTCTGCTAGTCTCCGGTAAAATCTCCGCAAATAGTGCCTCCCGCCATCACCGGACAGTAACGTGTTGGAGAAACCTTTGTCTGGTGTTAGACGAGAGGGAGGGCAGAGGAGAGGAGAGAGGGAGAGAGGGCGGAGGAGAGGAGAGGGGGCGGAGGAGAGGAGAGGGGGCGGAGGAGAGGAGAGGGGGCGGAGGAGAGGAGAGAGGGCGGGGCGGAGGGGAGGAGAGAGTGCGGGGCGGAGGGGAGGAGAGAGTGCGGAGGAGAGGGGGAGGGCGGAGGAGAGGAGAGAGGGGGCGGAGGAGAGGAGAGGAGGCGGAGGAGAGGAGAGAGGGCGGGGCGGAGGGGAGGAGAGAGTGCGGAGGAGAGGGGGAGGGCGGAGGAGAGGAGAGAGGGGAGGGGAGGGGAGAGCAGAGCAGGGAAGACACATTTTATGAAAATTCTAAAATCCACAATTTCCAACGTCATATGCTAATTAGATGGGTGCACTTATTCCCTACATAAAACTTTTGGCCATCCTTAATAATTCTGTAATTTACAGAAAGTCTTTCTCTCCTATCACTTTGAAGTTACAGCCTTTTGAAATAAAAATGTCAAAAGTTTTTGAGTATATGCACTCAACAACGTACAATTACCCTAAAAATGACTTAATTACACAAACGTGTCTTGTCTGTAATTGCTCTTTGGGTTAAACAACAACCTGTTTTTGTGCACTTTACTTTATACTGCAGAGCACACATTTGTTTGTTTCTTTGTGTTGATCCAAGGCCACGTTTTTTAATAACGGGATAGAAACTAAAAATGCTTTTTTATCCGATTAATCGATGAAATAATCGACAGATTAATCGATTATTAAAATAATCGTTAGTTGCAGCTCTAGATGACAGTGAAACCTCCTACAGATACAGCCCAGACTGCTGCTGCTGTGAGAGGTCCTTCTCCTACGTCATCGCCGCCATTTTGGCGCCCCCTAGCGTTTCTATGCGGAAGTGAAAAGGTGCCACTTACAAGCCGTTTTTAACATGATTCATCTGAACATGTCAAAATGAACACCCGAAATATTATAAACACATATTGTAGTTATATATTCTGGATAGCAGCATATTAAATTCTAGTACTACTTTAAAAATATTAAGCCCCAAATGTAGTTCATCAATATCTTTATCAGTCATTTCATCTATTATTGATTACAAAATAGAGTATTAAGAAGAAAAGGTGTCTTCTTCAAAACGTTCCCATTGAAAGTAAAGTGGTTCTGAAGATGCTCTATAATGAATGTACTGAAGTCCTTCCAGAATGTGGTGAGAGCAGATCCAGAACAGTTTCCTCAAACACAACAGCTCACATTAACACTAACCCTTATCTATAATTATTCTTATAAAGTGTCAGACTGTACGTTTCCCTGTTTCTGTTTCTGAAGGATGTTCATTGTATCATGTCATAGTTCATATCTGTTCATAGCCACACGGACAGACAGGCTGTGAGGCTATGAAGACCAGATATGCTCAAATAAATACTAAAACCATGTACAATTCTGCAACTCAAGAATGTCCACTGAACAATGTCACTTTACTTTATCTACTTATGATCCTGCCCTTTATGTACAGTTTTTATCTCCGCTCTACTATAAATATATATTTTATTTTGAAAGACTGTTGAAGCATTTACAGCTAGTTAAGAAACGTAGATACTTATTTTGTATATTTTGTGTGCTCCCTGTGTCTCTTACTACTGTCCTGTCTGTGCGCTGCAACACCGACATTTCATCACTGTGGGACGAATAAAGGATCTCTTATCTTATCTTATGCTCTAGACCCAGGACTGAGGCTGTAGACCCAGGACTGGACTAATGGGTACAAAAGTGTGATTTTAATAATCAGAAGATATTTTATGTTTTTCATGGATCCAAACTCCTCCTCTGTCCTTTAGAAGTTTGATTGGTATTTTCAGATGTCCACATTTGATTAAGATTCTTTTTTTTTTTTACAGTAGATAAAGTGATACTTTTATATAAAAAAACTAGGGCTGCAACAACGAATCGATAAAATCGAGTTGGGCTCATTCTTGTTCAGCTGTGTTCAGACTTTTTTATATAATGCACAAAGATGGTGATTTCTGATTAATTCTAATTCACTGTGGCATTAGCAGCGCACACACGTCTGCTCACACACACACACACACACACACACACGTCTGCTCCTCTGCTTGCACACACACACACACACACACGTTTTTGTTACCTGGTGGGTCCCTTTGACAGGGCCGTTCAGAATGGGACCCATAGACATAATCTTTTTTTACTGGAACTACTTTAAGTAATACAAAACAGTCAATAGAAAACAAACAACTCTTTTAAAGGAATTTTATTTTTTATTTTTTTTTCGAATTGCAGTGATTCTATTTTTGACATAGAATTTAATGCCACTCCATGTCTAAGGTCATCTGGTGAGGCATTAATGCAGGCCAGGCAGTGAGACTTCCCAGGGACTTTTCCAGTCTGTATGAAAGGCGTCATCTTCTCCACAGCCTTCACCTCAGATGCAGACCATGGCTTTCTCTAACGTTCTAGGGAGAGAAATAAAAATATATTAGCAATATACACTCCCAGGGTTAGGACCAAGCAGCCTGGCTGTAATCCCCCACCTGGTACACTTACCA